GCAGGGATCCTCAAATCTGACCCACGAGATCCACTTTCCTGCAGAGTTTAGCTCTAACCCTAATCAAACACACCTGAGCATGCTAATCAATGTCTTCAGAATCATTAGAAAATCACAGGTAGGTGAGTTTGATCAGGGTTGGAGCTAAACTCTGCAGCGCATTGGCCCTCCAGGGCAAGATTTGAGGAACCCTGCATTAGTGTATCCCATCATGCATCATGTTCTGGAAATAAATCGTGAGAGTTTTTGCCAAGATCTCGCGAGAGGTCACGGAACCCTTTCCAATGTATGTTAAATATTAATGATAATTAGATATTACATATAATTTGGTACTAAAACAAAGGGTTGCACGTTTTATTGGTGCAAATGAGTAGTGGTGATATTTATTTTGTACAACATTTGCAACTGCTTTTTATCACTTAATTAGAAGCACCACAAAATTAAATTGTCATCTGTTATAGAGACACTGAACAGACATTTAGAAGTTGATTTTAAAATGTAAAGTACACTTGGACCAAATACAGGAAATACGTCATATAAGTAGTCAAGTGGTCAAGTGCAAAGACCGCAAGTGTGGGTATTTTGACAAGGCAGGTGTCGCGTCATAGCTGTGTGGACGGAGTCGGCGTAGGGGAAAACACATACCCCCGGTTTCACAGACAAGGCTTAAGCTAGTCCCAGACTAAAATGCATGTTTGAGCTGTCTCAACTGAAAATATCTTGTTCTGACATATCTTAAAATATGCACAACTGTAATGTTTTCTTCTAAGGCATTTTTGTAAAAGTTGCTTAAATATCTTAATTTAACTAAGGCCTAGTCCTGGCTTAAGCTAAGCCCCGTTTGTGAAACCGGGCCTAAGTGTCCTTTCCCCCTGGAAAAGCATGGTGTTGACTCAGAATGGCCTACATAAAATCATTTCTGCCACTCGACAGAGCAACATACGTATAAAAACAGCCGTATTGGGTCGGACTGTCCGTACGGTATCTGTGACTGGACAAACGACCCAACGGAATGGCCAGAGGTGACGTTTCCCGACAATTTTTGTTAACTAACTGAGCAAGAGACAGCTTACTACAAGCCTATACGTGACGGCTTGTGAAAGTAAACATTTGTCGTTTTGTTTTGCTTAATTTTAATAAAATGATAAAGACTTGAGTAAAAGCCTGTCGTACTTTCTTATTGATATATTAAAAAGATTTTTAACATTGACAAAACAGGTAACATTAAGGTCCACTGAAGTGCTTTGAAATGCGCAGCGTTCTTCTGTGTGGTGTGTGCTGTGGCTGCCTAATCATTTTCACAAAAACATGCCGTAAAATAAAGATAACATGAAAATATGTATATAAAATACCAAAAAACATGGTTATTGGTTACTATAGTTAAACCATGGTAAAAACAACATGTTTTGCTACACTAACCATAGTTTAACCATGGTATTTGTAGTAAAACTGTGGTTATAGGCTACAATTGGTAATAAAAGTGCCAAAAAAAAACATGGTTAGCCTACTATACTTTTAGTAATACCATTGCTAATTTTAGTAAGGGATTGTGTATATGAAATAAATGTTTATTATGACATCACAAAATAACAGGGAGTGAGATTTATTTGATTGTGATACGAAGGAGGGTTACTGTAAGCCCCATCAGAAATGGGTCACAGATCATCGCAGGGTAAGTAGTGTAGCCTATCTGTACTACCCGCTCAGTGCTACCTCCAGTAGTCCGTCTGTTTATCAGTCATATAGCGTTACATCTTCAGATCAGGTTTTTTTACTTATTAGAGGTACAGAACACCACACAGCAACTTTTTGGCATTGCACCAAGCAAAAATCAGTCGAAATCACCACAAAAAGTAAAGCTCAAGCACCTAAAAAGGTCTCAGTGCGTTAATTCGAATGGTTTGTTTTCCCCCACGGCATAAACAGTTATGACGTTTTTGTGGGCGTTCCCAGCTTCAGGGGAGTGGGCGGAGCTAAGGATCTCCTTGGGCGCACTTCAAGTATAGAGGTGCGTTCGACTTCATGCAGCACTGCGCAGACCGATCGGCGGCTGACTTGAAGCAGTGCATGCCGGTTAGAAATTTAGTCCGACTTGAACCGGCACCGACGCCACGTCACTGTCACATGTGGCATCAAAGTACCGCGATAGCGTTTCGAGAGCAGCCGGCTGACTCACCTGGCGCAGCTTTTTCAGAGCGACTGCAGGAGCGCTGATGACGACTCAGCTGTTTCACGATTGGATATTCAGTATATAAAAAGTGTTTCTGTTGCTCATGAAAACGTTTCTGAAACGTCCGTGTATTTTACAAATATTGCATTTAATTCACTTAATCTGTGATAGAGTATGCAAACACCGCGTGAGCGTCACTAACGGGAGCAGAAATGTCCGGCTTGACGTGTCCGTTTTCAACTCCGCCCCTGACTGCAAGCGGCTACTCTCGTTGATCGCCATCTGTAGCCGAACTTTAGGTCTCTGCAGGAAAGTAATGGCAGTTACCAGATCAGGGCCTTTTTAGACCATGTTTCCTGATTGGCTGACATCATAGTGACGGTAGGTTTAGGGGTGGGGTTAGGTAAGGGGGATCATTTTGATTGCATGATTGAGAAACACCCTGCAGTTTGAAAACACCCACAAATTCAGAAACCAGTCTAATTGGTGGAATTTTCTGTACAACATCATGTGTAATTTTGTTTTACACCACGAATTCAGCTATTACACACGATTATTTAAAAAAATAAGTTGAATTAATGCAAACAGATGGGTTTATCAAAGAAAAAAAGGTGGCCACTCTCAGATCTGCTGCGCTGCAGTTCCATTTTTCACCACAGATTTACAGTACATTAGAGATTGTGGGGCGCTGTAGAGCTAGGAAGAGCTCAGGCACCGTCTGCTCCGCTTAGTATGGTTAATCGTGCAGGCCGAAGCCATGCGTTAAATGTTATTATATCCTGTTCACTTGACGACTTTAAATAGTCTGGAAAATCCGAAAAAAATATTTGCTGCAGAATGCTGAACACGTTTACAATTTATTATTGCTTTAGTTTATGTAGCGGTCTATGTTCTTTGTATTTTGGTGGAGCACTGCCTCACCTGCCCATGCAGACCAGCAGTTTAGTTTGAGCATGAGTAATAATACTTCGTTACAGTGCTTCAGTATTTTTTGGGAGTATCTGTACTTTACTTGAGTTTTTATATTTCAGCCAACTTTTACTTTTACTCCACTACATTTCCTAATTAAAATGTATACTTTTACTCCGATACATTTCCCCGAAGCATATTCGTTACTTACTACAAAATAGTCAGAAGTCAGAAGAACACGGGCTGTAGGAAAGCAGGTTTAACGAATCAGTGGTCTGGCGTCTGCAATTTAGACTCCTAAAACAACACCTTTGTTCATGTGCAAACAAGTGCGCACACAACCGCGGATAATTCATTTTCCACTCAAGTCTAGTCTGGGGTCTGCGATATAGCCTACAGCATCATCTGCGTCTCTGCGATATGGTAAGTGTTGTTGTAATGATGTGCGATCTGACATTATCAAGTTGGCTATATCACCAAATCACACACAGAGTGCAGGCACATTGATTTATTAGTCTATTAAAACTCAAAATTCCAGGCATTCTAAATTGTAGACGGCAAAAATTCTTATGTATGCTTTATATATTTATATAATTTAATATAAGGGCCTTTCGCACCGCTTTAGTTCCAGAACTAAATGTACAGTACTAAAGTACTGGGATGATTTTGCGCTAACTATTTCCCAGTACCATTTAAAGGGTTGCATTCGCACCGACAGTGTGTACGAAGAAGTGACGTAAGCCGGTCGACAGCGACGTCTGGGTAGTTCCACAATTAGTTCTGGTACTATGAAAAGGTTCCCGCGGTGCGAAAGGCCCTATAGTTCACTCAATCTGTATCACACAAAAAGTACCGTTTTTCTGCGGATATCAGCACGAACACATTTAATAATCATTTTATACAAGTTCAGTAAAGTTAGCAATAA